CGACTGAGACTGACTGCCCTAGGGGGGTCACCTCAAATGCCCAGGCTGCAGTAGTCACTATGGACGTACTAGGTGGCAACAAATGTGTTCCTCATTTCCCTTTGCACAGCACTTCTAAAAGACTTAGCTAAACACCAAGGGAGGGCAACAGGGAAATAAATATAAGTGAGAAGCTTAAGCACAAAAATAGTTTGGCTGACCCAGCACAGAAGTTCTGATCTCACTTCAGCCAACCCTTGGCTCAAATAGCAAACTCCAGCCTTGGAGCCTCGCAAGCACCATGTCACAGGCTCCTTATTCTGTAGGTCTCAAGTCAACTCCCCAAGGAGGGTGCCTCCTCCTGGTCCCACTGTCACCTCCATGGTCACAGAGAGACACTGTCATGTCATGTATGGCAGAGGAAGACTCAAAAAATACTTAAGAGATAAGTGAATGGATAAACCTTACCAGTCAATTTTTAATCTGTCCTTTCAGCTCTGGTTTCTGATCTGAAGAAACATCACTCTTACTGATTACTGACACCAAATGATTTCTTCCTCCAGTGAGACCCTTCTGCCTCTTAATTACGAGGTTGTAGCTTCATCTCCTGGAGAAGGCAATGACAACCCACTCCAGTACTCTTGCCTGGAAAATCCCATGGGCAGAGGAGCCTGGTGGGCTGCAGTCCATGGGGTGGCGAAGAGTCGGACACGACTGAGCAACTTCACTTTCACTTTTCACTTTCATGCATTGGAGAAGAAAATGGTAGCCCACTCCAGTGTTCTCGCCTGGAGAATCCCAGGGATGGCGGAGCCTGGTGGGCTGCCGTCTATGGGGTCACACAGAGCTGGACATGACTGAATCAACTTAGCAGCAGCAGCAGCTTCATCTCCGGATTTATCTGATCAACAAACTTTTTTTTTAGCTCTATTGAGATAAAATTTTTTACATCTCTACCTAAGTCATTAAAGAATCTGCCTGCAATGCAGGAGACCTGGGTTCGATTCCTGGGTTGGGAAGATCTCCTGGAGAAGGAAATGGCAACCCACCCCAATATTAATGCCTGGAGAACCCCACTCACAGAGGAGCCTGGTGGGCTACAGTCTTTGAAGAAGTCTATGAAGAAGAGTTGGAAACGACTTAGCGACTAAACCGCGACTGCCACTGAGATGTAACATTGTGTAAGTTTAATGTGTACAACTGATGATCTGATACATAATTTGACATGTTGCCAAAAGATTATGGCAATAGCTGGTTTCATTAACCAACTCTTAAACAATACCATAGCATACCTGTAAAGTCCAGTGCAAATGGAAAGTGTTTGTACCTCACATGCTTTCCTGACAACCCCATGTTATGGGGAAAACTGACTCAGAGAGATTAAGTAAGTGGCAGAGTCAAGCCTAAATTCAGCTCTTTCCTACTCTGAAGCCCAAGCAGCTCTTAGTCATCATGTTCTACAGTCTTCTTGACATTTCAGTAGTATATTTTCAGTCTTCAGTAAGTTTCTTTTTCAAACAATTATTTATCTATTTATTTATTTATGGTTGCACTGGGTCTTTGTTGCTGCATATGGGCTTCCTCTAGTTGTGGTGAGTGGAGGCTACTCTTGCCGCTGCACAGGCTTCTTATTGTGATGGCTTCTCTTGCTGGAGAGCACCAGTTCTAGGTGTGTGGGCTTCAGTAGTCGCAGCACACGGGCTCAATACTTGCAGCTCGCAGACCCTAGAGCTTGCAGGCTTCAATAGTTGCGGTGCATGGACTTCAGCTGCTCCATGGCATGTGGCATCTTCCCAGACCAGGGATCAAACCTGTGTCCCCTGTATTGGCAGGCAGACTTCTATCCACTGTACCACCAGGGAAGTCCCTTCTATAAGTTTCTAAATGGCCACAGGGCAAATTTCACAGTTCCTATTTCTCTGAAACCTAAAACTTTTCCTCAAGAGACAAGCACAGAATTGAAGCTCAGGTTTACTAAATGAATGAATGGGTTAAGTTACTAACCGCATTCGCTGTCTAAGGTTCTGCTTGTCAGTGTTTCAAACAATGTCTTTGGTGTGATCTGAAACAAAAGAGTGGTGAACTTCCAGAAGAACAAAGCTAACTCTGAAGAGGACTATTAGAACCAGAGTGAGACTTAATTGAGGGGATTTGGTTGAGGCAACAGGAAGTATGATTCAAATGCTGAACAATTGTGAGCCTGCTCACACATTCCTTACTGTCCTGAGCCTCCCAAGCAAGGCTGTCACGAGTCTCATTGCAGATAAAAAGGTATGAGAAGGTGGTCCTTGTGAACTGTAAAACTCCATATGGATGGCTGGAATTATTATTGTTATTGTCATCTAGCCTTTGCTTCTTTCCTCCAGGTGCAGTGGAAGGAGTCTTCAGTCCCAGGCCTTTACCCCCACCTCTGTTCCCTCTGGCTGTCACCAGTTCCCTCCCTCAAGAGGAGGCAATAAGGAAGGGGAAGGGTGTTTTGACATGGACACCCTAGTGATTATACAGGATTAAAACCCTTGCTTCATTCCTTACTAGAACTGAGATACTGGGAAGTTACTTGACTTCTTGGAGCTTCAGTTTCCTCATCTCCAAACCTCTTGCCTCACAGGTTGTTATGAGAACCTCATGCAAAAATGCATGTAATGTTACTCACAGCCAAACCTCTGGGATGAGTCGCTACACTTGGTGAGTCCTCTCTCCATTTCTTACGTTGCATGGGCTGAAGCTGGATCCTCTTGGTTCCCCAAAACTACTCTTGCCAAGGTCACTGATGATCCCTGTGTTGCAAGTCCAGTGAATAATGCCCACCCAGGGAGTCCCTGGTGGTTCAGACGGTAAAGAATCCGCCTGCAATGTGGGAGACCTGGTTTCGATCCCTGGGTTGGGAAGATTGCCTGGAGGAAGGCATGGCAACCCACTCCAGTATTCTTGCCTGGAGAATCCCAATGGACAGAGGAGCCTGGCAGGCTACAGTCCAGAGTCAGACACAACTGAGCAACTAAGTACCCAAGCACTTATCTGACTGTACTTGTTACCTCAGTTGACACAAGGCCCCTCTGTTCCAGAAGCACTCTTTTGTTCTGAGCACTTCACACTCTGCTGCTCTGGAGGTCCTCGTCCTTCGCAGGCTTCACCTCCTCTGTCTGTTCCTTAGGGTTTTGTCCTAGACATCCTCTTCTCATTCATCATGCTCTCTCCAGAGATAACCCATGGCTTTGATTATCTTCTAGTTGTTTTTGGTTCCAAAATCTGCACCTCCAATCCCAATCCTCCTCTTGAGATGGACTCTGTGATGACTCTACCCTCCAGACCTTTCCTGGTGGGAGTCTCACAGACACTTCAGCAGCACCATCACGAAGGCATCATCTCCTCCAGCCAAACCCACTCATCCTCCTGTGTTCTCTTTCCCCACGAACAGAACCTCTTCCTCGAAGAACCTGAGGCTTGTGCCTGACTCTGTCCTCTCCCTGAATCCTTCTTCCTATCATTTCTCTTGTCAACTACTGAAACACCTCTCACTTGACCTCCTACACTCTACTTTTCTCCTCCAATCCATTCTTCAAGAAGCATTCAATGGTGTAACTCAAATACAAACACTGAAGCTACGACTCTCCCTCCTAAAATCCTTCAATGGCTCCACACTGCCTTTTAAGAGGGCTTACGGGACCTGGCATCTTAGTTCTAGCTTCATTTCTCATCTCTCCACATGGACTATATACTCCAATCACATTTTGCCTAACAGGCCACATTCCATCTTACCTCTGCTCTGAGCTAGGATATTTTCTCTTCTCTCTTAAAAAAAAAAAGGAATTAGCCTCCAACTAATAAAAATAAATGGAAAACAAAAAAAGAATAAATATTCTTTTTCATCAGTAAGTCCTCAGCCTTAATGTCTCTACCATCAGCACCATTTTCCCGACACCCCTAAATGGGCAGGGCACCCCTGCTATGTGCTCCCCAATGCACATATTTGACAAATAATAATTGGGCATCTACTATGGGCCAGGCACTGTTCTAGATACAGTAATGAATAAGATGATAAAGTCCCTGACCCGGTGGAGCTTATGTTCTAGCGGGGATGGTAGATAACAAACACAGAACTTCATATGGCCATGAGCACTATGAAACAAAATAAAGGGGTAGGGAGTGCTGGACAAAGGGAGTGAGGGGGAGAGTGGTAAGAAGTGAATTTAGAGAAAAAGGTTGGGGCTCAGATCCTGTAAGGCCTTCGTGGCCACTGTGAGGAGTCTGCATTTTATCCCAAGATGGAAATTCACTGGCCAGTTTGGTGCAGGGAAGTGCCACCATCAGGTCTATATTTTTAAAAGATCACTTTGGCTGCTGTATAGAAATCAGACTGTAAGAGGTAAGTGCCAAGGCACAGAGACCAATCTCTAATTACAGCCTGCCATGGACTGGCCCCCTTGTTCTCTATCCTTTCTCCTCAATCCTCACAAAGGCTCTTCTTCAGTTTGCACCACTCTTCACCTCCAGGCCTAGTTAATACCTATTCATTTTTCTTTCAGATCTCAGCTCCTGTCGTTATGTCTAAGAAATTCTCTTTCTCACACACACACCCCCTCCTGTAACACAAGCTCACAAATCTCACATCTCCTTTGTAGCTCTTGTTAGTTGCAGGTAATTGTAAAAATGACTTAATGTCAATTATAGCTCCCAGTGGCCTAACTCCTTTGTCTGTTGATCCCTCCATGCGAAAGCCTAATAGAGCAGAGGTCAGTGTGTATCGCCAGCAGGTAGCACAGCACCCGGCGCTAGTGCTATGCTCACTGAACGTTGTCGGATGATTGAAGAATGGATAAATTCTACAGACCTTTTCCCCATGCCAGCCCTCAAAAATGCAAGTGGGTAGAAGAGGATCTGAAGATTTCTCCCCTCTTCCTCATTAGTAAAACACGACCATCCCTATAATTAATGATAACAGTGCTGATAAGAAAGGTGAGCTGCAGATGCAGGGAAGGGAGAGTTAAGATCCTAAGCAGTGCAAAATCCATTACGCCTACCGTCGGCGAAGCGAAACAGCAGCCCCAACCGGAGGCGAAAGGAAATCCCAGAGCAGCCTGTAAAGCTGGTAGGCGGGGCTGGAGAACTGGGCTCCGCGGAGACGGGGTGCACCTCACACACGCAGCCGCAAGGCGCGCAGGGCCGGTTGGGCGGGACCCGGGCCTCGCTCGGGAAGGGAGACCCGTAATCGTCAGGAGGCGGGACGCAGGCACTTTCCGCCCGTCTTATTGGTAGTGCTGGGGACGGACTGTTTCCTCTGACCAGCCTTAGCCCACATACGGCGCAAGCGTATTCGGGGGTCTATTTGGAAAGAGGGCGCGGGAAGCAAAAAGCGCGCATGCGCCTCCGTATACACTCGCCAGCACACCCTGATGGGTGGGGGAGGTTGCTTTCCCTCAGTGAGTCCGGGTCACTGGAAGCTGAGCTGTTCTCTTGAGTTTCCTCCTTTGGGAGTCTCGGGGTAGGGAACATTTAGTGCCCAGATATTGCCCCGTTGGGAACCCCAGGCTCCACTCCCTTCTATCTCATTTTGTCGTTCTGGCCGCGCCCTAACCCTCTTTCCCTGAAGCTGGATTGTTATGATGGTGAATTATTCAAGAAGCCTTGCAGCCTGACGCCATCTATGGGCAGTGCCCCCTCCCTACCCCCTCTCTCCTGTAGGGCCCCACGACTGTCCCCAAAGCCAAAGGGTCCCGAAGCTGTTTACAAGACCTCACGCCTTTAGTAACTTAATGAGTTTGTTGAGGACCTACTAAGTGTTAGACCAAGTGCAATGAGCAACCCCCTGCTCATAGGAGTTTGCATTCTATGGGACGACACAAACAAGATAATTTTAGATAGCAGTTAAGTGTTCAAAACCACAGGGCGGTATGATAGAATGCGAAGTGCTCAACGAGAAAATGAATATTGAACTAAGACTCTCGAATTAGGTGACAGCAACAGCGATAGGGCAGAGTTTCGTGTTGGTGAAGAGCTAGCTGGTGCAGTCTCTTGGGCAGTGGCAGTTGGAGTGAAGCAGAGTGCACCAGGTTGTACCTGAACATAGTTTCATAAGGAGTTTGGAGATTATTCTAAATACAATGGAAAGCTATTACATTTAGGCAGAACTTTAATATGACATGATTTCTTATCACTTTGCTGACTGGGGAGTGGATTGTGGGAAGAATGGAAATAGATCAATTAAGAGGCAAAGAGAGAAGGTTGTGACTAGGGCTAGGTAGCTGGTGAGACATGGAAGAATTCAGGGTAAGACTGGACATGCCAGATGAGAAAAAAGAAATGAGGGTAATTCCTATGCTTATGGAAAGTGCAGCGGGGTGAGTGGTGGTACCATGTATTAAGAGAAGAATGTTTGGAGAGGAACAGGCACAAGGGTTGGAATCAAGAGCTCCATTGTGGCCATGTTGAGTCTGAGACACCCATTAAATATCCGAGGAGAGATTTCACATTGGAGGTTGGAGCTCATGGAGAGGTAAAGGAGAGAATTATCCATGAACACATAGATGGCCGTGAATGCCATGGATCTTGTAGGGCCACCTATAGACAAAGTGGAGGTAGAAAAAAGAAGGGAGCTGACAGGAGAGTCCTGGGGCTCTCCAGTGTTAATCGGATAGGCAGAGGTGTGAATGCTGACAAATGATACCATGACAGCAAAGTAGGAGGAAATACAGAAGAGTATGATGTCTCTGGGCTTCCCTGGTGGCTCAGTGGTAAAGAATCTGCCCACCAATGCAAGAGACTCAGGTTCCATCCCTGTTTTGGGAAGATCCCCTGGAGAAGGAAATGGCAACCCACTCCAGTACTCTTGGCTGCGAAGACCCATGGACAGAGGAGCCTGGTGGGCTACAGTCCATGGGGGTCTCAAAAGAATCAAACACAGCTTAGCAACTAAACAACAACATGGTCTTTAAAGACAAGAAAGGGGAAAATTCAAGAGAAAAGATGCTGATTCAGTTCAGTTCAGTCACTCAGGCGTGTCCGACTCTTTGCAACCCCATGAATCGCAGCACGCCAGGCCTCCCTGTCCATCACCAACTCCCAGAGTTTACTCAAACTCATGTCCATTGAGTCNGTTAAATGCTTATCAGAGGTTAAGTGAAATGCATGCAAGCAGAGAAACAGCCACTGAGTCTGATACTTGGTTATTGAAAAATTTGTTTCAAGAGCAGTGTCTGGGGAGAGGGAGGGGAAGGAATCTGATGAGAATGGTTGAGGAGAGAATGGATGTTTGAGTAGAAGGAAGGAAGACAAAAAATGTTTGGCTATGAAAAGGGGCAGAGATACTGTGTGGTAGCTGGAAATAGATATCGGTGTCTTGAAAGTTTTCATAACTAAGAGAGATGCTAGCACAAATCTCAATGGTGATAAAGAATGATCCAGAAGAGAAGGGAAAAACTGAAATTTATTGAAGGCTTAATGTGTTAAGAGCTTTACAAACTTTCGTCCTCATAATGTTCTATGGATCAGGCAGTTGAGGTTAAATAACTTGCCCAAGGTCATGCAGTTAGAGGTGGTAGAGCTGAGAGGCCAGCCTGATTTTTCTGACCCTTCATGCCTCACCACCCCATTGCACAGGCATACAGCCCCCTATGCTTAAACACCCGGGACATGCCTATGCCCTGGCCACAAGCCCTGGTGAATCAGAGTTACTGTCACGCCGGAGGAACTGGACTTTATTTTCCTCCTCCAGCACCAGAAGCACAGGCATGTCCCCCCAGAGCCTGAACACCCATGCAGCAGAGGACAGGAGCTCTCCCAGGCCAGAAGGCAGAGGCAAGCAGCAGGAGCCCCTAGAGGTAGGAGGGAAACAGGTACTTCTGGGACTGTTCAGCAGGTTTCTCTCTGTGTCAGCCAGAGCAAGGGGGTGCTGGGGGCTGCTGTGGCCCCAGCACTCATCTGGATCTGTTCGATGTTGGGGGACGCCCGGGTCAGAGCCCGGTCTCCCGGCTGCCCCCATTGAGGCTGAGGCTGTGGGGACGGGTAGCACGCTCCAGCCTACGGCCCGACAGGAGGCGCCTCAGGGAGGAGCCGGAACTCAGGTCGCCGCAGCTGCGAAGGTGAAGGCTCTCTCGGCCTGGCCGGCCCCAGGGGCTCCGGGGCACCTAGATGGGGCCACAGGAGACAGCATCAGTGTGGCCCCCAACGCGAAGTTCCAGGCTTTCCTGGGTGTCTTCCTTGGCTCCCCTGACTCTACCTGCTTATGCCCATGGGCTCCATTCCCGTTGGGATCTGGGGCCTTCCTGGACATCTGGAGGAAACGGGTGACCAGGCCCCGGCCTGGCCAGCTGCCCTTCAGGTCCCCCAGGGAGTGGGCAGGTGCAGGGCCCGAGGGCAGGGGGACCTTCTGGAAGGCGGGCACAGGGCGCCGCTTCTCTGCTGAGCGGGCACGGAGCAACTTGGGGGAAGGGCAATGGGCTAGACGGAAGAGGCAGGCTTCAGAGCAGAGCCCTGGAGAAAGAGACAGGGAGGGTGGGTGGGAAGGAAGGTGCAAAAAAGGCCAGGCAGCACTGCCCTATCCCCCACCCCCTGGGCACCAGCAATATGCCTAACCTGTATCTGCAGAGGAAACGGAAGCAGCTTCTTCCTCAAGCACTTTGGTATAAAGGTCCCTGAATTCAGCTGAAGGGGAGAGGAGAGAAACGCGGACTGAGTTGGGAGTGCGTAGTAGACACCCCCACCCATCTCACCGCCCTCCTGAGAACCCAAGCCTATAGCCTACCCGGCTCCTACAGCCCACTCCCAACCAAGGGGGCATTGTCGCTGCCCATGTCTGCCAGCAACTAGATGGAACGATCCACCAAATCAGACATCACTCTCTGCTGCATCCTCCCAGTGCCTGGCACAGATGGTAATGACAAGCATGTTCTGTGCCAGGGCGGAAGCATTTGACCTGCATCTCTTCTCAGTAACGCCACAGTATGTACGGTGAGGTACTGTTATTATACCCATTTTACAGGTGAGAAACTGAGGCTTAGAAAGAGTAGGTAACTTACCGAAGCTGGGGCCTGTGAGACTGGGTTCCAACAACCAAATCTCTTTTTTTAACCACTAAGCTACTGGCTGGGGTGTTTTTCACAGGTGATGTAAGTGTCTGATGCAGGTGTGATTCGGAATTTCTGCCTCCTCAGAGACCCCAATGGTGTCCCAAATCCTGGTGGGCGTCACTGGCCCTCTCACTCCCAGTGCCTACCCTCTCCTGAACCCTGTGGGGGCTCACCGGTGTTGCTGGAGGTGGTGATGCCCGGGTCACTGTGGGACCGAGGCAGCAGCAGTGGTGGCCGGGGAGCCGGGTGAGGAGGCCGATGCCCCGGCGGGGTGAGGGAACCTGAGCTGTCGCTGAAGCGGCGAGCCGGGGCTCGGGGGGAAGGGGCCGCAGCTGGCCGGCTGCCTCCCCGGGGGACCCGCCGCCTCAGCTCGGGGAAGCAGGGTCCCACCCAAGGCGGCCAGCCCTCCAGCCGGTGGCAGCTGCGGGCCGCTGTGGGGGCACCCAGTGGGGGCGGGGCTTCGGGGGCAGAGCAGGAGTAGGAGCGGGCTGCCCTCGGGGGCCGCCGGGGAAGGGGGCTCTCCTCGAAGGGGCCCCGAAGGCCGCAGTCCAGGCTGAGGCAGTAGCCGGCGCGGCTGCGCTGAATCGAGCGGAAGAGCACGTAGTCAACGGAGCGCACGGAGCCCTGCAACTCCAGCAGGCACGAGTCCTCCGACGGGCTGGAGCCCCCGGGGAGGTCACCGATGGCTGACAGCACCAGAGACCCGCTGTCCATGGACACTGTGGGCAGGAGGGGGCGCTGGCTAGCATCAGCCTGGCCGGGTCTCCGCAGTGCCCCTTCCCCTGGGCAAGCCTCAGAGGAGACAGGATTCCAGGAAACCGCAGCCCTGGCTTGTCACTCAACCACCCAGTCTAATCTCTCCCTTTCTGCCCCGCCCCCCACCGGCTCCGCTATCCCAGGCGTCCCAGTCCTTGTCCACCCCCCCACTTCCTGCTCACCGTCTACAATGGAGGCCACTCGCTCGCAGATGCAGGCGCCATCATGCAGCTGAGGATCAAAGAGAGTGGCCTGCAGAAAACACAAGGGTCAAGCGTCCAGCCCTGCACACCGATAGGGCCACCCCACAGGCTTGACAGAGCTCTGGAGACCTAGATTCCAGTCCAGCTTTGTCACTCTGTCCAAGTCACTTATGTGGGCCTCAGTTTCCACGTCTGTAAAATGGAAATAACAGTTCTTACCCCACCCACCTCACTACCCTCTCAGGCAGATCAAAGATGACAGTGGATGTGCCAATGCTTTAGCTCACGAGAACTAGTATTCTTTATCCAGTACCAGCAGCTCACTCAGATTTTCAGGCTCTATCTTGGACTCCCCAGCCTGCACCAAGCCCTGCTCTCACCTGACTGTCTCCTCGTAGCCCCATGACGGCCTCATAAGAAGGGGGGCAATCAGTAGGGTACAAGGGCACTGGGCTGTCCATGGAGCCATTGTAGGTGATGCTGGCAGAAGGAGGGAAAGGGTCAAAGCCTGGAAAAGAACTATTCTGAAAACTCCCTCCCCACCAGTCTGGTCCCGGTCCCAGTCTCCCTCCTCAGTTCCCCCGACAGGACTGCCTGGCCTCACCTCTGCGCATCTGTTTCCGAGCTGCAGGTGTACTCTGGGGGGTAGTAGGGTGGTGGGGGCACAGGCGGCACAAACTCCTCCAGGTCCAGCATGGTGTGCAGGAGAGGGTCTGGGGGCGAGGAGGTACAGCCCAAAGGCCCCAGAGGGCCTGAGACTGAGCGTTCAGGGGCCAACTGCTGGGGAGCAAGCAGGTCGGCAAGCTTGCATTCTGGGAATACAGCTCCTTGATTCCCCAATTCCTCTCTCCTCTACATTTTCTGACCCTGCCCCCTCCAAGAAGCTCAGTTCTGGCCCCTTCCTTTGCCAGAACAGGTTCCTCTTCTAACTGCCCCAGCTGACGACCTTCACCTCCTACCCTGCCCATCTAGAAATTCCTCCTCTTTATGGACTCTTCTGCACCCAGAATCAACTCTCTGTTCTGTCCCCACCAGAACATCAAACCGTTATCTTTGCCCCCATCTAAGACCTTCTGGGCTCCGCCCAACTTTTAGTCCCATTCTCCAATGCCCTGGGGCTGACATCACACACTTCTGTTACTCCCAGTGATTCCCCTCCTCACCCTCCAGTGGACCTCTTAAATATTCCTACAATCAACATGCCTATTAGGTGAGCCACAGCCCCTGGTGCTCAAAAGCCAGCGCTGCAGCCATCCCTGCCCCACCCCCCCAAGACCAGTCCCAGCACACACACCCCTGTCCCAGCCTACCTTCTTGGCCTTGACCCCAGCTTCCCACTCACCGTGTGCACAAGGTCCAGGGAGAAGATCTGGATGCAGCAGACAATGGCAGAGAGGGTACATATTATGGCGGCAGAGATGGTGAGCCCACAGACGCTGAAGAGTAAGTTCTGGGGAAGGCAAGAGAGAGGAATGTGAGAGGAGCCTAGGGTGGAATAAGTCCCACATATTCAGGGCCTGTGAGGACTCAGGATGAAACAGAAGAGTGAGAGCCAGGAAGATGGTAGGAGAGAAAGCAACGGCAGAGATGGGGGTGCTGCTCACCTTGAGGGCCCCTCGGGCTTCATCACAGGTGGAGTTAGGAGCAATTTTCAGTTCCTGCCCCGACTCTGGACAGGGCCGGAGAAGACGAACAGAGGGGCAGCACACGCAGACCTTTCCATCCTGAGTGGGAGTGGAGAGAGTGAGGCAGCCTGAATCCGGACAAGCCGAGGTGGTCGGCACACCTCCCCCAGCTAACGCACTCAGGCTCTCCTTCCTCAAATCTCACCAAGTCGCAGTCTTGGAAGTCTCGGGCCAGCTGAGCGTTTTTACAGGAGAGAACGGAGCCAGCCATGCTGAGCATGACGCAGAGCACGGAGAGCAAAGAGAAGAAGGAGATCTGGGGAGCAGAGGGCACAGACTCAGGGCTGGGGCCCCCAAATACCCTCTACCGCAAACGGAGCCCCCTCACTCACAGGCATGCGTGCCTGTCAACATGAATGGAAGACTCAGTTCCCTTCTTGGGGGCATAAATGGGTATCCCCTCAGGTGCTAGGCACCTGCCTCCCAGTGGGCATCAGACCCTGGCACCTACCACTAGAGTGAACGGCCGCTTCCAAGAAACGATGCCAACAACCCCGGAAAACGCCAGCTGGGGATAAAGCGGGCACAGGTTCAGCATGAAGGGGAGGCAACTGGGTGAGCCCCGCACCACAGGGCGTACCCAACTCTGTAAGGAGTACGAGGACCAGGAGAGGCCAGGATTTGGACTGGCAGCTGATGTTGAGGGGTGGGGCCCGAGGAGCCTCCCCCACCCAACAACTGTGCGCCCAACTCACCGAGAACCCAGCCCAAGACGGGCAGGATCTCTTGACGCTCTCGGTGGTGGTGATGGAGGAGGCCACCATGCTGAAGGTGACCACCAGGATGCCCAGGAGCACCTGAGCCAGCCCCAGCGTGAGCAGGGCCTGTAGCCAGGGTCGGTGGAGGCGGAGGTGTGTAAGGCCCCGGGTGCTAGGCCGGCTAGTCAGCGAGCGGCTGGAATCGCTAGGCGAGGGCATCATGCCTGCCGCCCGGTTGCCTGAGCCTTGCTCGGCCCCCCCTGGCGCTTGGGAGCATCTCAGAGGCGCCCAAGGCCCCGTCCTTCCTCCTCTCCACCCCCCTCCCTCTAGAGCCCAACCCCTGGCTGGGTCCCCTGGGGCATGGCCCAGGGACTCCAGCTGAGGGGGAGTCCAAGGGGGGGCCCTCACGGAGGGGCCGCGGAGTGCTCCCTCCCCACCACGGGCACTGGACGGGCACCGTGCCCGCGACGGCGATGAGGACGCGGGGGCACCGGCTCATCGCATCTCCCTAGGGAAGAGGGGCGCCGAAAAGGGCCGGTCCGGGAGTGAAGAGAGGGCGGCGTTCCGGAACCGGGAAGGGTGGGAAGGGTAAAAGGCGAGAAGGATGGGAAAGAAGTCTAGAGAAGAGGGGAGAGTCGGCGTGGGGTGACTCTAGAGGCGCAGTCGGTGTGCCTTCAGAGTGTCCAGTTGGATCGGCGGCCGCCTGGTGGGGAGAGGCTGCGGCGCCACAGTCTCCTGGGTCGCCAGCCCCACTCCCCTCCCCACCACGGTCCTGCTCTCCTAGCTCAGGCTGCAGCAGGTCCGAGACTGGAGACGGGGGATGGGGGATGAGCTGGTGCGGGAGGAGGGGCGTGGTACGAGGGCCAGCGCGGTGCACTGCGGGAGTTGTAGTCCCAGTCGGAGACCCTGGGGGAGACGGAGTGGGAGAGGAAGGGGGAGGCACGTGGGGGGAGGGGAAGGGAGGGAGCGGACGGCAGGGCGGCCGGGTGAGGTGGCCGCAGCCGCTGGTCTGGCGAGGAGTTCCGGCCCCCATAGGGGCCGAGCTAAAGCTTTCGGCGCCTACTTGGGCCCCGCCCAGCCTCTCGTGCCCCTCGGCCGCTCCGTTCCCAGCAGAGGTAGCGGCTGTTTCTTAAAGGAGAAAGTCATTAAAGGAGCGGGGTGGAGAGCTGAGTTCCCTGGCAGCTCCGCGATTCCACACCCAACCGTGGACTTCCCTCCCACTTCCTGCGCCAGCCAGTGGGCTCTGCTGTCCCGCCGCCACAGCTCTCCATTTACACTGAGGCCAGGTCCGACCTTCTCTCCAGAGTCCACAATTCACCTTCCACTTCCAGTCGCCTCCACTCTATCTTCTGTTAAGACCTAGTTCCCATTAAAATTCCAGAAACGGGGATTTGTGTTCCAGTTCCACTTTCTTTTTATTTAAATAACCGAAGCAACAGCCTTGGCACAGCAGAGGGAAGCGGGTCGGGGTGTGTGGTTGTGGCAGCAGTGTGGCCTGATCGAAGGGTGGGAGGGAAGCAGTGACTGGGTCACACTGGGCTCCCCACACCCTTAAGTCAGGTTCAGCAGTCATGGCTGTATGATTGGGGGTACTAGAGTGGAGACATCAAACAGTGATGTCTCAAAGTCCCAGAGACCTCAGGGATGGGGGCTAGTCGCCTCCCTCAAGTGGCGGGGCCAGGGCATCCCAGTTAGGGGTCATGGGGCCCGGAAGGCATTTTCTGCAGCCCCAGCGGCTGCATTGGCAGCTGCGGTTCGCACCGCAGGGTTGGAGAAGACACCAGCTGCAAACTCTTGCTGGGCCTTCTGAAAGCTGGCACCTGTGCGGCGATACAAAGAGTGGATCTGCAAGTAGAAAGCACAGACTTTACAGCATGTTCCAGCCACTATTAATCCCACTCCAATCTAATACCATCACGACCACTCACCAGCCTGTAGCTCTAGCTTTTCCTTCTTGGCTCCCTACCAACACACACGCACACCTACCCCTACAAGCCAGCACTCCCCCCCCCCCCCCAGGTCCATTAGCTAAGAATCCTTCCATCCGCCTGGCCCTCCCCAGTTGCTCCTGAATATTCCAGCCAAGTCCCCAGGGACGGGTGATATCACTCTCCAGGCCCCACCTACAGCCCCTCACCCGCTTCAGCATGACAATTCCCAGCACAGCGATGCCAGTGAAGAACAGAGCAACCAGCAGCATGAGCACAGCTACGGCTGTGTTGACCTTCAGCACCACCAGGGCAGAGATCCAGCCACTGTGAAGAGGAAATATATGCAGGTGAGGAGGACTGCTCCCAGGCCTTCCAGCTTCTCCACTGGTCATGTCTTCAAACCAGGGGCCGTTTCCCTGTGGGTCTGGCAATTTGCCATGCACTAAAATCCCAAACTAGTTTAATCTCAGCTTCTGAACCATCCTAGCTCTCCAAGCTCTTCCAGACATCCTCACTCCAAACAGATCTTTCTGTTGAGAATGCTTCCTCTTCAACATTACACATGCCTCCTCCAAGAAGCCTCCTCAGACTGAGCATGTCCAGCCATCTTTCCCTTAATCTATGTCTGTTGACAGTACTGTCTGAGCTCTCTATCATGGAGAGTGTCCTGTACACCTATTAAATTAGCATCTCCCAAGGATTAAAACCACAGTTCCTTTTTCTGAACAACTCCTATGCCAGTACCCAATGTTGACTTGATCAAAAGGAGTGGGAGGAAGGGGTGAGGGTAAACGGCAGTCTCACAGACCTGAACCCCCAACCTGGGATGCCAATGGCCTGCAGGACAAACAGAACATCCTGGACGAAGAAAATGAAGAAGAAAACGAAGAAATTGAATGAACTGTCACTCCTGCAAAGGAAAAAAATGGGAAGTATAGGCAAAGAATCAGGGTTGTAGGAGCAAAAAGGGGATTCTCCAAGTCCCCTCCCTGCCATCATCCCCACCGCCCCTTCTTACCTGAAAGCTTTGTACATGGGGCGATACCAGCAGACGAAGGAGCAGGGAGTGAAGAGGAGGATCCAGAGGATAGAGAGCCCAAAGCCTGAGCCATTGCTGGTCTCCACACAGAAGCTGGCGAGGCAGGCAAGAAAATTCAAGAGAAGAGCCAGAGTGCTGCCTAAGGGTCAGGGGGACAGGATGATGGGTCAGTGAGAGCTCCTTCTCCAAGAAACCCACCCCACAACCCTCACCAAACGTGGCAGAGTAAGGATCCTCAACAGGGGAGACAGAACCAGCAAATCTCAACCATGTGTCATCGTGTTTGCAAAGACTTTTAAAAGGATCCAGCATACATTTATGCATATGGACAAGGGGAAGAGGGAGAGAGCAAGAACGTACATTTGCTAGAAGACTGGAGAAGAAATCCTGAGTATTGTAAAAGGAGTAATCCAGGGAAATTGCCAGAGAAATGAGCCTTCAATGATACTTCATTCAAAGTATCTAGCTCTGGGTGAGTGAGCTCCAGGAAAAGGAATGATGTACCACTTACTATCTATACTTTTCCTTCAAAAAGGTTTCTGACTACTCACACATCCAGAGGTAGTACATGGTGGATACTGTCTTCTGAAATTCTTGGGGGATCTCCATGGAGATGTCCTGGAAAAAGCAGGGCTGAACTGGGCAAAAAGAAGGTAGAGGGGGCCAATTGTTCTGTCGAGCTGTAAGGCAGAAAAAGAGCAGGAGGGTCCCACAAGTGAGACAGAGACCAACAAATCACCCCCTTCCTTTTACCCCTGGATTCTCTATTTCCAACTTGAGAGTTCAAGACAAGGGCAAATAGCAAAAATTATATTAGTAGTGTTTATTATGACTTTTGTTTACTATGGCTTACAACTGCTAACCACTATGCCCAGGATTTGTATAGATAACTTTGTTTAACCTCACAACAATCCAGTTAAACAGGTACAAACATTACTCTCATTTTACAAGTAAGGAAACCGATGCACTCAAGATTAAGTAGCTTGCCTAAGAGCTCATCCTTAATAAGCCACTGCACCCAAATTCAAGCTCTGCAATCTGGCTCCAGTGCCCATGCTCTGAGTTCCTTTTCTGAGACTTCGAAGCTGTCAGATGCCCTCTGCAACCCTATCAAGGATCCACTTACCAGCTGTGCCGCCCAGGGCAGCATGCTGCAGTTCTCGCTCCCTTCGGTCCAACTCCTCTGCCTTTCGGTTGAGCTCCTCCTGTTTCTTTAGCAGCTCAGCTGTGGCTGCTGCAGTTGAAGCCTGCCCAGTAAGAGCAGATGGAGATGTGAGTCCTGAACCCCAGGGAGGCCCCCTCCCCAAACCCCTACCTATACACCCCCCTACCTGGGTGCTGTAGGAGCCATAGTTCTTGGGTTCTGTGGGGCTGAGTTTTCTTGAGGACTGCAAGGGTGGAGCTGAGGGCGGAGCTATCGGAACAGGGGCAGGAGGCTCATAGCTTGGTGGTGGCTGTTGAGTTTGGAAAAGACCTTAAGCATCTAGTCCCCCATAACACAGGAGACTAGAGTCTACTTGAATACTTTTAGACCTAAAACTCATTACCTAAAGTGGCAGCCCTTCCCCAAGTTATTAGAAAGCTAGTTATTGTGTTTATATCACAGAACTCTCTAACAACTTGCAGCTACCCTCACATCAAGTTTCTCAGCCAAGATTCAAAGCACTCATCTACCAAATCAACCTCCTTAAACTTTCTAAAAACTCTTAACACTTTTCTATTCCAGTGAGACAAACAGGTCTAGTCTTTTTCATCCCTTGCTTTCTAATTGTGTACCTAAGCATACTTTGACTTCTCTGGTGGCTCAGCCGGTAAAGCGTCTGCCTACAATGCGGGAGACCTAGGTTCGATCCCTGGGTGGGGAAGATCCTCTGGAGAAGGAAATGGCAACCCACTCCAGTACTCTTGCCTGGAAAATCCCATGGGAGGAGCCTGGTAGGCTACAGTCCATGGGGGTCACAAGAGTCAGTTACGACTGAGCGACTTCACTTTCACTTTTCAAGCATACTTTTGTTTTCTCAACTCCAAGCTCATCCCTTTTCATCTTTAAAAAATCCTCCCCAGACAGGGTCTTCATCAGGCCCTGAAAGAATCCAGATAATCCCAAGACTGACATTTAGAGCTCAAACTGACAGATCTCTGGCCTTGATGTCTTCAGATGGGTTAGGCATCCCATGGCAGACTGGCCTCTTTCAGAGAGCCAAGATCACTGTGCTTCTTCCTTTGCGTGCAGAAAAGTCCCCCGGACCTCAACACTGGTTTGGTGGCATACCCTACCCTTCCCGGCCTTCCTGTGCTCTCCAGAATCTCACCTCCCGGGTCTCAAAAGGGTTGTAGACGTCAAGAGTAGCATAGTGCGTGCTGGGTCGATGCTGGATCACAGCTGGGTCCTGTGGGCAGATATCTGCGGCTCAGTTGGCACCTGGTGCCTCTGCGGGAACTCATAGGGGCCTCTTCTCAATTGCCGTGGCTCCAACAACTGCAGCTTGGGGCCACGCGGTTGTCCCAAATATCTGCCCCCAACCTTTCACCCCACACTACCAGTTCCAGCTCCTTAAGGGGCAGGGCCCGCCCCCCAAGGATGCTCACTGGTTTGGAGTCGTCGTCACACCCACGTGGCGGCCCTTCCTCGGATCAAATGTCACGAACAGGAATACAAGTTAGCCCGACCCTCTAGAACCAAGAAACCACCCCAGTCGCCTAAAAGAGGCCGGCGCAAGTCACCTGAAAGGGGTTGTCAAGCTCGCCAGACTCGGCGAAGGGGTTTCCACCGTCTCTGCTTTGAGCCATGTTTGCAACTTCGGCTTGGGCCGCCCCTGCCCTCCACGCCCCTGCCGCGGCAGTGGCGGCGGCCGCGGCTCTCAGAGCTCCCTCAGCTCCGCTTTTCTCGGTCCGCCCCGCTTCCCTGTGCACGGATTGGCTGTACCGACCGGAAGGGTCACAAGGATCCCCGCAGCAGCAGCGAGTTGCGCCTGCGTCTCGGATAAAGGAAAAGAAGGAAGTGCCCCACGTGATGCCTCTAACTCGGTCTCAGTAGCCAAGTACCGCCCCTTCCCCACGTGACTTCCTTCGATTAACGAACTACACCTCCCAGTAGGCCTCGCGTCAGAATCCCGATTCGTCCTAGCCTTCGAAAGAGAAGTATGCTGGGAGTCCTCCGACCGGTGGTGGCGGCATCCCAGGAGCCCAGTTCAGGAAGTTTTTTAGCTGGATTTCTGACTCTACCCTGGGGCTCAACCTAACAGCTATACTAACCGAACCTCTTTCCCAAACGTCATTATTCCAGATCAAATAAGTGCTAACTTTATAACCCTTTCTTACGGTCAGATGTTACCCACCCATCGCTCAGATAAACTGGTAGCCTGAGGTTAATTTTGAAGGGTAAAATGGGATTCCCTTCATTGCCAATCTAATCATCCCACCACCCCAGCATCTCCAAACCTCAAACTCCAGGGATGGGGGTCGGGTGAAGCACATCATTTTATTTCACAAAGACTGTACAAAATTCCTTATAAAACATGGTGTTGATGCCTTCTGGTTACCTCATTCTGCCCAGATCCAACTCAACTGTTGAAGGGGCAGGTGAGGGTGGGAAGAGTGTGAGATGGAATAGCATTATGTACAAGGCAGGGGTTGAAGCGGTGGTACAAGTTCTTTCATATTTACACTATTTCACATATTCACAGGTACATAGGGAGCCAGGAGGAAGGAGTGAGCTCCGGCTCTGTTCTCTTGTATAAAAAAGCACCAGTGTCCTGGACTGGACACCCACTGCTGTTACAGACACAGGGGTGCCCAGGGACAGATCGTCACCGACTGATATCTCGACTGGAGTCCCACAACTTGGCGTTAGGTGGCTCAGCCCGAAGGCGGGCGAAGAAAGGGTGTTGAAGGGCTTCGCCCAAGGTCAGCCGCTTGGCAGGTTCATACTCTAGCATGCTTTCAATCAGATCGAAGAGCTGGTGGTGTTCCTCGGCCTCTGAGGTCAAATACCGCTGGTGGTGGAGGGCAGGAAAAAGGTGAGGCACGATGCCTTATAAGCCCTGCCTTCTTCAAGGCCCAAGCTTTCAATCCTGAAGAACCAAGGCTCTGCTCATGACCATATGATGCTATTTGCCCAGGACCACACCAGGGCCATTTCTGATGTTACAGCTCAACCTGCCTTCCCACTAGCACAATTATTCCTTCATACTTTCTCAAAGTTCTACTTATATATCCTTGACAACTTCATGAATCTTCTTTAGCTCAATAAAATGTAAGCTCTTCAAAGGTAGTTTATTCTTTTCTCTGGTTGGCTCAAGAAATAAATGGCTGTCTAACCTCATTCCTTCCATAAAACCACTCCCTCTTTCTCTTTCATCAACAAAAGATGTCTTCAGTTTTCCTCCCCTTGTTTCCTAACTCTTTGCTTGTGAAAGGCATTCCGGGGGCAAAACACCTTAAGAAGGAGGGGACCTCTGGGGGGTGGGCACTGGTCACTCCCAGCCCGGCTCACCCGAAGTGGTTTGCAGTTTTCTCGAACGTAGCGCCCCGCTGATGTGTTCTCATCCCAATCCAGGCGACCCCGATAAAAATATTTCTGCTTCCTAGAGGGGAAGGGGGAAGTTGAGGAATCAGGAAGTTCCTCTTGTTATGGGATTAATTTCCCTTATTCTCCCATCTGAGAGTAGCTGAGGGGAAGGCAGGTGTTGAAGAAAAAAGAAAATGTGATAAGAGACCAATTTTGTGGAGAGAAAAGGAGAAGGGTTACATCCCTCCCACTACAGGTTCACCTTGTCTTTCGGATCATCCGGGAAGGGATAGGACCCAAGATCCTTTCCATCATGGCTAGATGCTCTCTGTTGTCATGGGTCTGGGAAACAAAGACAGAACTGAGCAAGGGACTGAGAAAGGATGCTGGGATCTAGCTGCTAGGAAGCTAACCAATGTGGAGGAGTTAGCAGGCAGTTTCTCAGCAGATAAGGAAATCAGGTAGAAGAACGCCTAGTGGTCTTTTAAGACACCCAACCACTTACTTGGAAGAGGGTGAAGCCAACATAGTATTCGAAGATGATACAGCCTATACTCCACACATCACAAGGCTGAGACCAGCCCAACTCTAGGTAGGGATGGGAAGGAAAGGTATTATGAGGCTCAGGGGCCCCCTCACCACCATACCACCTCACATACTTGGACAATCTCGTCCTTCCCCCTCTTACCAAGAATGACCTCTGGTGCTCGATAATGGCGGGTGGAGACAATGGTACTATGGTGCTCATGGTCAAAGGTGGCACTGCCAAAGTCTACTACCCGTACAGCTGTGCTCTTCACACTGCGCTCATCTCGCTTCTAGGAGGCAAAGCAGGAAAAACATGAACCTCTGCATCAGGACTGAGAAAAAACAGACCAAGATTCTACTGCTATTCTCTAAAGTGCTTCTGAGCCTTAAAAAACCAACTCTGACCTCCTCCCTGCTCCCACGCATGTCTCCTGCTTTTACAGCCTCCCCCATATCCAGCAGAGTACTTTAGGAATGGGGGAGGAAGAGGATTTAGGAGTAACTATAGAATAGCATGCATCTGAAGAGTATACCTAAGTGACTGGTGGTATACAGTTTTCTGATAACATATAATAGATAGCAAAGTGAGGAATAGCTTCCTTAGCTGAGATCCCCATGATCTCCAGTTAGTCAACAGAGCTGAGCTTTCCTTACAGAAAAGAGAAGAAACCAAACCAAGAACCTTGTAAGTGTTTTCACTGTACAAGAAAGTTAACTGAAGTTCTGCTTCTAAATTCTCTTTGAAGCTAAATATTAGATCTCTCCCTTTCCATCTATTTTGGTATTCCATTTTTTTTCAGAGCCAGAGAAGAAAATGTGGGAGAAAGTAGTAAAAGGGAGGACAAAAAGGGCTAAGAGAAAGGCAAAGTGGCAATGACCAACTGTGCTCACTGGCCAAGGGACGATCCTGTCCACCTTACCTTCTCTAGGTTGTAGGTGAGCTCGTAGTCCGAATTCACAAACAGAATATTTTCAGGTTTGAGGTCCGTATGTGTCAGCTTGTTATCATGGAGGACTGCAGAGGAGAAGGCCAGGTCAGGGTTGGTCCAGGTGGCCAGAACTAACTACTACCAGCTGACCTCAAGCTTGGTCACCTAGCTCAAAGCTGGTGAGGAGGCAGGTCCAGAAGCACTTGGCTGCTTTCTGCTCTATTTCCAAATGAAATGCCTAGTCTAACAAGCTCTACGCTTAACATAAGTTACATATGTATTTCTCAACCAACGTATAAAGATGGCTTGCTATGGTTTTTTCCTTCCCCTGGTCACACCTCATGATATGCAGGGATCTTACTTCCCTAACCAAGGGTTGAACCGTGCAACAGAGTGTGGAGTCTTAACCAGTGGACTATCACAGAAGTCCCTATGAGTTGTATTTTTGTGCCTTAACATATGTCCGTCTGACTCCTGTGAATTTAATTCTGTGAAACTGTATTATTCTGATGACTGAGGAGGAAGTAAGCACTGGTCTGAATTCTCACCCTGGCACTTGGCTGCACAACTCCCTGTTCCCACCTGGCTTGCTGAGGGCAGAGAGCACCTCGGCTCAGGCAAGTAAACCTCCAGCCTGAGGAGTCTTTCTGTCTCCTCATGCTTAGCACCTGACTGACTTTCCCAAAGGAGGGGAGTGAAGGAAAAAAGAGGTAACTAAGAGCTCTGACTTCAAATGCTTTCTCTTCTAGCTCCTGCTAGGTTGGATGTGGAGGAGAGGCAATCAGTGATGGTGAGGACATCAGCGAAGGAGTTAAGTCAGAAGAGGAAGAGATGCCAACACAACAGTGAATATAGAAGAACTGCAGATTATTGAGTCAACTGTTTAGGGGCTTCATCAGTGCACAAGTGAGACAGAAGAGGTCCTGTGAAGGAAGGGGCTGCCCCAGAGTCCGCCGTGGCCCACCCCACTCACACTTGACGGCCTGGCACAGCTGGAAGGCCATGTGGCGCACTTGGTGGACGGGGTAGGGCAGGTAGTTGTTGTCTTTGAGGAAATCGAAGGTGCTAAGGCCCAGAAGCTCAAAGGAGATACACATGTGGCCATGGTAGTCAAACCAGTCAAACATCTGGACACAGAGGCTGGGAAAAGAGACGGGAAGGGGTGTGTGTGATGAGCTCCCATCTGTCCACCACCCCTCCAACAAAGAAGGACTACTGCTGCTGATTGCACATGCTTGGATAAAAACATGCCAGTTATTATCACCAAGAAAATTCAGTTCAACTACAAAATGGCCTTTCTGGCAGACCCAGGAAGAGAAGTCCTACTTGCCAAACTTCAAACCATTTTCCTGCAATATTTCAAACAATTAAATAGGAGCTGCTGAGTGCCAGGCTCCAGTGTGGACCCTGAATTGTCAAACTGCCACTCCGTCAACATGACCCCAGCTCCAGCTCTTGAAATTCACTCACCATCAGCCATCACTGGGCCCATGTTTACACCTACTTATGTCTTTGAGTAATACTCTTAAATTTTACATTTTGATTATGCAATGTGTGTGAACAGAAAAACTATACATAAACACCTGCAACTTCATTAGGGTAGTTCTAGTTCTATTAAAAGCTCAAGTACTTTTTTGATGAAAAATGCTGATTGTCAGTCTCAGGGCCATTTCCAGGGCACATTCCTACAAAGGTCATCCTGAGTTGGAGCTCAACTGCAGGGCAATCTAACTGCCCCCAAAACAAGGGGAATGGATTATAGAATGTCACAGACCCTCCCTTCCTTCCTTTCAGTAGTAGTAACTACTAGTAGTTCTACTACTCTACAATGATAAACAAAAGATGAGACAGTCTACAACTCCTCTGCCTGTCTAGTACATGTTGGGAAGGTTTTCCCGTCTTGAGGTGTAGCCTCTCAAGACACCCCACATACTCCA